TTCGATTTATTTATTTTGGATGCTTTTCTAAGGAGAAATTGCCAAGGTTAAGTTATAGGTTTGAAAACCCAATTTCTAGCTGTAGGAATTTAAGCAATTTACTTTTCTTGTTCCTATTTTCTCATCAGTAAAATAGAAGTTAATAATATTGTACCTACCGTATAGGAAGTTCTGATCATTATATGCTCCAAACACTAGTATATTACCTGGGATGAGTTAACTTCTATTAGTGATGAAAGTGTTAAAATGACTGTTGATACTACCACCAAATTAACATATTACTGATGATTTCTAGTATAGTCAATAAGTAATTTCATCACCTTTATTTTGATGATATAAATTAACTGTTTCATAGAGTATATTTGTATTAATCATGATCAGTCTTTTGGGCATTAGAAGGGCAAAATTCTGCTGCTACTTCAGAGCTTTTAAAGGTATTCTGATTTTTTAGTTCATTCTCCTGCTCAGCCCTGAAACTACCTCCTAAATTACTTCTAAAAGTGCCCAACAGCTGCTACTGACAATTCTTATTAGATTATTTTCCTGTAGACTATAACTCAAAGTTATTGACAAAAGGTAGAAAAGGATGGAGATAAGATCATCCAAAATGTCACCAAGGCTAATGGTGTTCATGTGCAAACACACACACACACACACACACACACACACGTAATTTTACATATATGGGATCAACAATATTTATTTGAGGGAAAACAAAATGATTTAGGAGAAAGAAACTGGAGTCAAATCTCAAATCCCAGCTCTGCCATTTTACTAATCATTTGACCTTGAATAGTGTGCTTATCCTAAAATTCATCTGACTTCTGATACCCTCATCTAATAATAATTAAAAAAAGGTTAACAATGCTTATCTTCTTTCAAGGTTTTGGGGAGGAATAAATAGGCACTCAATAAATGTGAGTTTATTACCCCTTCCTCTTAATCTTCTCTTTGACCTTGATATTGGAGGTTTTCCTAGGCTTCATTACTAAACAACTCTTTCCATGTCATAGTTTGGACTACAAGTATCTGGAGCACAGAGACTATATCTTCTTTAATTTTGAAGACCAGCACCCAAGAACATGTTTGTATTTAATACAGTTAACTAAGATGATAATAAATCAGACTCTGGAAAGAGTTTGTTCATGGATCTGTTTATAATAGTTCATTCTTGATTCATCTAAATACACTGCCTCTCATATTCTGTATACCACTTTATTATTAAACCTGCCTACCTTTTAGTTTCAATTTTAAAATGTGGCTAGTGATTTGGAGCAAGTTATTTAATCATGCTAGCACATAGTTTCCTCATTTATAAAAACAGAAAAATAGCTTCCCTTCCTATTTTACTGGGTAGTTTTGAGGACCAAATGATATAATGCATGTCACAGTACAGTATAAGGTATAGGTTCAGACTATAGGATAAGGAAAGTAGGATACATCAAAAGGAGTGGGGATTGTATGCAAGATAGAAGTGTAGAGGTGAGACTAAGAAAAGGAATCTGAATCCTAGTTCTGTTATTTTAGTTTGTGGACCTTGGGTGAGTTAGTAAGCCTTTCTGGGGCTCAGTTTCTTCATCTCAATATTGCAGGTGATAATAGTACTTAATTGATAGAATTGTTGTAAGTTTAAATAAGACCGAACACACGAAGTATTTACGTACAGTGTCTGTTTTTTTAAAATATATATATATATATATATATATTTTAGTTGTAGATGGATAAAATTTGTTTATTTATTTTAATGTGGTGCTGAGGATCAAACCCAGTGCCCTCACACCTGTGAGGCAAGTGCACTACCGCTGAGCCACAGTGTCTGGCATATGCCACAGTGTCTGACATATTACAAAATCTCAACAAATAAAATTTAAAATTTGTAAGTGGTTAATAGCATGTGTGAAGGTAAAGAAAGAAGTCTAAAAGTTCAGAGAAATAACCACTGAATATTAGTCTCAATAGTTCCTTATTTTAAAAATAAATATTTCCCTCAAGTCCTATTTTAGGACTGAAACATAAATTTTTTTTCTATAAAATTTTCCACTCTTGGTCAGAGTTTATTAAAAACAGCTTCAGTTCAAAATATTTGAAGGCAGCAACTGTAAAGTTACTATTAACATTAGACTATTTTTGTATTTATTACTTGTATTATATAGAAGAATAATCATGATTCCTGTTTTTAAAACCTAAACGTTACTTACTTTCCTGTTGGTATAATTGGGAGTAGAGATGGGAAGAAGAGGCAGGCAGTATTTAAAGCTCTTCTTCATAGCATTTAGGAATAGAAAAGGTATTTCATATAGCAGACAGGCACCACTCAGTAGACAAAGTCGCCAAGCAATGACTTTGCTTTTAACATTCTTTACCACACCCACAGCATCCAGTGACCTCATGTTCTCTTTTAATTGCAAAGAACAAGATCCTCTGTTGCTCTTGGGATATAAAGCTATGCTTAGGTTTGAGATCACAAATTGATTGCCTGTTGGCCACATCTCCTTGGAATGTTCTTACTTTGGTCTGCAGGGTTCTCAAATATTAGTTACCACTATTTAAACATCTAGAAATCTCACACAAAGACCCCAGAGTTTCTCTTGGGAGAAAACTAGAACATCTCATAATACTGGACCCACATTCCCGAGGGCAACAATCTGCTAGAGTGGAGCAGCTGCTCCCTTTATGGATATTCCAATATACCACATTCCCTATTATTTCCCATTGTTTTACACAAATCAAGTGTCATTTATTTGCTTTACTTGTCCAGCCTCTGTAGACAGATGTGAGTCTGCAACGTTATCGAGACCTTTCCTGTCTGCTATCAAAGCTTATTTTGTTCTGTACCAAGTCCATCATCAGTTTTCAAAGCAATGGCCCGTAATCTGATCAAGTACACGTACTTTTACATGTTCTTTCTGGAGATAGTATCTTAACAGAAAGGGATGACTCTGCACATGGAAATTACAAGCCCTACTGGATTACAGTCAGGATGGTAAGCTTTCATTCTACTTTTTCTTAGTCTGGTGTTGCCATACCTTACTGTTCTCAGGCAGACCAAAAGAATTGTTTTTCTAATAGAACAATGGACACTGGCCTATGTGGACACAAATAGCACTTTTAGAGATTACCCTAATTCCAAAGGATCCAAGATACTATGGGCAATTCTGACTCTCCATTTCCTTGGAGGTTTCAGGATATCCGGCCTGACGGCATTTCCCCTCACCTGCTTTCAGGGCCGGTTTTGCGCAGGGCAGTCGCGCCTAAGGAGCGCGCGCAAGGAGCATGAGCTCATCTCTCAGGGGCGTTTCCAGAAGGCCAGGCCTGGCCGCGCGCACCAGGCCGAGTGGGCTTCACTATATCAGTGGGCCCGGGGGCTGGGCGGGGCGCAGCTGCCCAGTGGCGCTACCTCTCTGGAAGCTTTGTTCCTACTTTAGGTCCTGAGAACTCGTACCAGCCTTGGGCGGCCCCTTGTCCGTCTGGCCCTTTTGGGGAAGACGCCCCCAAATAGCAGGCACGCACGATCCCGAGCTGAGAGAGCCCAGGGTGCGCCGAGTAAGCCGCGCCCCACGGAAGGGCTCTAGTGGGTGGGGAGAGCCCCTCGCTTCTCTGCTCGCTTGAGTGCTCCATGCCCTTCAAACTGACCGCAGCAGTTTCGGCTGGGCTGTGCAAAGAGCCCCGGTGCCCCATCTGCGGTTTCCGGACAGGTTGGGAGCAGCCGCAGGCAAGCCCGTCAGACCGTCCGCCACGACCCGGGCGAGCTTCTCCCTGCTCCAGGGACCGCCGCCGAAGGCCGGAAGCCAATCATACTACAGCTAGGTCTTGCGATTGCACGGCAGTAAGTGCCGATTGGCCGCAGCTGGGGGTTTCGGCCTCACTCCTCCTCCCTTCTGCCCCGACTTCATCTCCAAAGCGTCAGGCCAATGAGACGGCGCTTTATAGACGTCCTCTCTTTGCTTTCTTCTTCTCCCCCCTTGACGAGGGAGGAGAAGTTCTGACTGGCTAAATGTCTTCGGAAGCCCTCTTCCTTTCACCAATCAATGAGAAAGGTACACTCCCAGTGGAGTTTTCCAGCCAATTGCGAGGCGGCCGCGGCGCCCAGCCATGCAGTTTCACCCGCGACTCCGGGTTTCACGGTCCTTAACTCTTCATGCTTTTTCCTGAAGGCCGGCAACTCTGATTGGCCACTTTTGCTATAGTCGAATTTCTCGTCCAGCCAGCCACAGAACAAGGCGAATCCACTTTCTTTCCGTTCGGCTGCCTTCGGCATTTTCCGTTCATTAGGCGTGGTTTCCCAGCGACACTTTCTAATTGGCTTCTCAGACAGATCGGCTTTTTCCGGAACGAGCCGCAAACGAGAGACGTTGGTGATTGGCTCCGCTTTGGGTTTCGGCTTCCCAGCCGAAGTGGGCGGGCGCGGACTCGGTCGGCTATTCCCAGACGCCTGTTACGCGGGCGGCCGGGCTTTGGGTGGTGTAAGGCTGGGTGGGGGAGGAAGGAGGCGGAGGACGAGTAGGAAGGGGGAGGGGGAGCGGGGAAACGCTAGGCGGCTGCGCAGACGGCGCTCCTCACACAGAGCTGCCCCCGACCCGGGCGAATGCTGGTTTGTGCTGCTGCCGCTGCCGCCGCCGCCCGGGCCGAGTGACAAAGGAAGGAAGGAAGGAAGCGAAGAGGACCTGGCCCCGCAGCCGCTGACAGGGCTCCGGGCTCGGGGCAAAGCGCAGACACTTCCTGAGCAAGCACCGATCAGAGGCGAGGGGCGGAGGGCGGCCGCACCGGTGCCGTGGACGGGGGAGGGGGCCCCGAGGGACGGAAGCGGTTGCCGGGTTCCCATGTCCCCGGCGTATGGGGAGCAGTCGAGGAGCCGCTGCCTGGGGTCTGAAGGGAGCTGCCTCCGCTATCGCCGCCGCCATGGCCGCTGGATCCAGCCGCCGCCTGCAGCTGCTCCTGGCGCAATGAGGAGAGGAGCCGCCGCCACCGCCCGCCTCTGACTGACTCGAGACTCCGCCGCCCTCCTGGTCGCCGGGCCCCTGCCGCCAGCCCGCTGGATCCCGCCGCTGCCGGAGCCGCAGCGTTTCCCGTCGCATCTCGGAGCCACCCCTTCCTCCCATCCCCCTCTCTTCAAGCGTGAGACTCGTGATCCTTCCGCCGCTTCCCTTCTTCATTGACTCGGAAAAAAATCCCCGAGGAAAATATAATATTCAAAGTACTTATTTTCAATCAAGTATTTGCTCCCGTTTCACGTGATATATATTTTTAAAGGATTTCCCCCACCCCATCCTCCTCTCTCAGGAAAGGGAGGTGAAAGAATTGTAATCCCCCCATTCCAGCCCCAGATTATCTATATGTTCAATATCCGTACCGATCTGTCTTGAAGGAGAAATACATCGCTCGTTTTTTTTTTTTTAAATAGCTATACAAAAAAGTGAAAAGCCTGGAGAACGAAGTCTTTTTCTTTTTCTTTTCTTTTTCTTGTGAGAGAACTTAATGCTGCATTTATCATTAACCTAACACCCTAACATAAAACAAAAGGAAGAAAAGGAGGAAGGAAGGAAAAGGTGATTCGGGAAGAGAGATCATGTCAGGGCGGCCCAGAACCACCTCCTTTGCGGAGAGCTGCAAGCCAGTGCAGCAGCCTTCAGCCTTTGGCAGCATGAAAGTTAGCAGTGAGTATCGATTTTATTTTACACCTCTACTCTACTTCACCCTTAAAATAAGAAACCTCGAAATAGCAGGATGTTAAAATATTAGACCTCCAGATCAATCAGAGTAATGGAAAAGGGCAAAACCCGTCTTCAGTCAAAGATGAGGCAGCTCACTCCTTTCTCCTCCCATACCTCCTCCCTGGTCTCACTAACCTTGAATTGAGAGAATATGATTTTTATTTGGATGATTCGATTTGGAACTTATTTCTTATACTTTCCTTGGTTTTGGTAGTCAGCTTTGTCAGGTTGCTTGACTGTTTCCACGTTAAAATAGCCATGGAAGTTTTTACTTGTTCATGCTTTTGAATAATGAGGAAGACTTGATCCATAAACCATTATGTACATTTTCGGAGCGTGTGTCTTCCGGAACGAGGGAGGATGTTTTAGATAGTTCAGGTTTCAGGGGTTATCATAGTTTTGTATACTTAAATAGACATTAAATGTCCCAGCCTCCTAACATTTCTTCTTTGCCTGAGTGATACACAAATTATTTGTTCTTAATCTGGAGATGGACTTGCTCAGTAACTGGCATTCGTGTTTGGAGGCGAGCCTTCAGCCCTCCCTTTAGTAGGGTCGGGTGGGAGACGATAAATATCGAGCAGCATTTGCATCTCATTGTTTCCAATTGGATAAATGGTTTAGTGTGTTATCTCCTAACCTTCCTGTTTTGACATTACCAGTCTGCCACCATATAATTTGTTTAATCAAAAGATAACTTGGAAGTGGGTCCAAGTTTTGATTGAGGTTTGTATTGTTAGTGCCAAAACTGAGTTAAATAATAATTGTCACTGACTCATTGTGATTTAAGTTGAATTTTGAGGTGCCTTTGCATACGTTACTTGTTAAATGTTCTGGAGTACAATGGATTCCTTTTTAGGACTATTTAAAATACTGTTGATTAACTCCCCTCATATTTAGTTAAAACTGTGGATTTAACTCTTAAGAATATGGATTTAATTCTTTCCATCATAGCTGTTGCAGAAGACTGTCATCCTGTAAATAATAGGGCTATCTGGGCTGTGTTAGGGTTCTTGCTAGACTGTACTCTTGCCCTGGATTTGTACTGAAAATCAGTTATTCAAGTGTTTGGTATACAAAGTATCCTATGTCACTGTATCTATTTGTGGAGATGTTTGTATGGTATTTAATGACAGCTATTTAAACATACTTGCAGAATTTGACAAACATATCTATATTGTTTCTTATCCCCTGAGAAAGGGGCTAGATGAAGGGAAAGATAAACTATTTTGTTGCCTCCAGCTAAGATTAAAAATCAAAACCCGAATGTGTATGCTGTTAGGTGACATTGATTATATACTTAATGCAACATAAAATGATCAGTTTTAATTGAACTCAAGATTTCAGTTCATGTTGGCTTTTGGAACTTGACTAAAACATAGTCCAATAGCTGATGGGAGGTTATTTTTGAAAGTTGTTTTTTTTTCTCTTGGTGACTAGCTAGTAGAGAACGCAGGGTATGTGAAGAGGGAAGCTGATTTTGCATCTTTCAAGGAAGGATCATGCTTTCTAAGCACTTCATGGGGTCATTTGAAAATAATTATTTAAAATTCTGGTGTAATTTTCATCTGTGATGAAGCAAATCTTATAATAGCTGCTTAAGAGCCTCTGTGGTACTGGAGTGTTTGTATGTTTTACATCTTTGTACTAGAGTTTAAAAATCACTCAAAAATTTTAGGTAATTCATTTATTATGTTTAGTTCAGAGATGTGTAATGCTAAATTACAATGTTAAATTTTGGGACTTTTCATTTTATTTCCAGGATTTTCTTTGAAAAATGACTCCTTAGTTCTTCATATAGATGTAACTCTTAAATTTGTAGATTAAGATATTTCATCAACTTGCAATTTATAAAGGGCAAAAATAAAAACTTGGTGACTATGAATAATTAAAGGGCATAGTCAACCTTTACTTTAGGAACATTTAGAAGAAATAGGAATTATTGAACATATGTTAGGGTACTAGTAGTATTCAAGGAAACTTGTGTTCACTACAAAAGAGCTACATAAGAAATTATAGTACTTGACCTCAAAAGCTTATTTAATGGTAAAGGGAAAAAAATGTGAAAACAACAGTATGATAACTGCAAGATTATAAAATACAAATTGAAATGTGTTCAGAAGGACAAAGAATAAAGGGATGAGAGAATGGTTGGAGAAGGAAGACTTCTGTGGAGGTGTGCTTTTAGGTGTTAAAGAAGGCTGTAACTTGAACTGTTGGAGAAGTATGAAGGACTCTAGGTGGGAGGCATGTTCAGCACAGAGATGGTGAGTTTTGTATGAGAGGCAACAAGCAAGGTGATAAATCTGATTTAAAGGGCCTAAATAGGAAAATAAGAAGAGATGAAATTTGAGAAATATGGGAAGGTTAGCAGAGAGGAAAAGGGGCCTGTAAAAGTTTGGTTGAGTTTCAAGAGAGATCTGGATTTTACTATAGATTATTAAACAGATACTGGAAGGTGATTTGGGAGGTTGAGTTGATGGATTTGCATGTAGAGACATTACGACCCTTTTAGGGAAATAGTAAGGAATATTGTGAATCATGAGGGTATAAATTAAAATGTGAAAATGGATGAAAGGAACAGATTCAGAGACAGTATGAATGAAGAAACCAGCAGGACTTTGGATTGGACGGAGGGGAGTACTTGTGAAGGAGTCAGGAGTTAAAAATAAATTCTGAGGTTATTAGTCTGGAAGACTTGACTGCTGAGTTGTATTGTTAATTGTAATAGGAAAATTGAGAAAGTGCTGAGAGAGAGGGTAGATGAATTCACTTTTAAAAATTTCATATACAGTAAGTAATTTTCCTTGAAATTCAGCAGGTAGCAGCTTGTCTCTGACAATGGTATTTAAATTCCAATCCATTAATTACATACTTTCTAATTTACACCTAAAAATGTCAAATTTATCTTTGGGAACAGTAAACTAAAGATTTGGGTTTAAATACTTTTGATTAACACTTAAAAAAATTTTAGTATAGACTCACAGTTGAAACCTAGTTGTAATAGTTCCATGGTAATTTATTTGAGGACAGTGAAAATACTTTGATGCTGTGACTTAAACATATTTAGGTATTTCATAGGCTTTAATGTAATTTTTGGTACGTGGTTAAACTTGTTTTTCATAAATAAATACTTAGGTAAACTTTGCATTTAAAATAATGATAATACTACTACTAAGAGTCTTCACTTTGTGAAGACTTCAGCAGAAATTAAGTCTATTTGATAATAGGTATTTTTTACCTTTTGATGAAATCAACATTTCTTCTTTCAATTCAGGCTTATGTGTTATTAAATAGCACACATCTGTCTACACAATTTCTTCTTTAGGATCACATGATATTTTACCCAAAATTGAGAAAGTAAGAACTGACCATGCAATTTTAGTAATATTCTCTTTCACCCCGCATTGGGAACTGAACCCAGGGGTACTTCAGTAGTGAGCTACAACAGTCCTTTTTATTTTGAGATAGGCTTTCTCTGAACTCTAAAGTTGCTGAGACTGGCTTCGTTGAACTTTTGGTCCTCCTGCTTCAACCTCCCAAGTCTCTGGGATTATAGGCTTGAGCTGCAGTGCTCAGCTCAAACTTTTCTTTAATCTTTTATTTTCTGGTACTGGAGATTAAATCTACTACTGAGCTATATCCCCAGCTCTTTTTATTTTCAGACAACGGCCTCCCTAAGTTGCCCATGCTGGCCTTGAACTTGTGATTCTCCTGCCTCAGCTGCCTCAGTAGCTGGGATTATAGGCATGCACCAGAGTCCAGCAATAAATGCTTTTAGTATACTGTTGGACAAAATTAGCTTATTGCCTAGGTTTGATGCTTAAACTTAAGGTTCGGAAAGAGAAAAATAGGTCAATGAATATTGTTTACTGTATTTCCCTATAAATAACTTTTTCTAATAAAAATTTTTATTAGCAAAGAGAATAATTAATGGTTAGTTATGTATTATTCTGCAGTATTAAGTTATGTGGTGATAAAAGCAAAGAGGGGTACAAACATAGTGTCTCTCTATTCCTAGATTAAAATTGTGATACCTAAAATTTGTTTATTAGAAATTAGCCAATTTCTTGTTTTTTCTATGTTAATTTAGAAAACATTGCTCATATGTGAAACTGAAAGCCAGAACCTTATTTTCATTCCTTTCCCAACTAGACTTACCTTAGAGTTTTAAAAACACTTAAGATATTCATATAAGAATTGCATGCATTCTTGTTGCATGCATCTATATAATGCTTGCTAATTGTGAGATAATACTAAGGCACAGGCACTAGGAAGAAACTTCAAAGTAACCCAGAGATTCATAAACCAACTTATGGCTGATTAGAAACTGCATTTAGAAAATGAGGCAACATTTTTTCATTTTACTGGCAAGTCAAGACTATATTTGTAACCCTGTTCTCTCTGTCCTCCCTATTGGATTTGAGTTGTAGGTGTGAGTTGCTGTTTTGGATAAACAGAAAACTGGGAAAGCCCAAGTTTTCATAAGTACCAGCAGCAGATTTTGAGACAGGGTAAGTTGTATTTTGTGTGAGCTTTATGCAGAGAAAGGTGAGAAATGTGCAGGCGCTGACCCTGGCCAAAATGAGTCTGTCTGTTGTTTATTTATTTATTGGCACTGGGAGTGAACCCAGGGGTGCTTAACTACTAAGCTGCATCCCTAGACATACATTTATGTATGTATGTATGTATGTATTTTGAGACAGTGTCTCCCTAAGTTGTTTAGGGCCTCACTAAATTGCTGAGGTTGGCTTGAACTTGGAATCCTCCTGTTTCAGGCTCCTGAGCTGCTGGGATTACAGGTATATACCACTGCACCCAGCAGTGTCTTCTTAATAAGACTTCAAGGGGTTATGAGAGAGAGATGGGGATGGGCAGGATATGAGACTGTAGTACCTCTTGTGATATTCCACCCTAAAATAAAGAGTAGAGGGGCACAGCAC